CCTTGTGTTTTAATCCAGCCTTGATGGATTGCAAAAGTTGGTTCAGTAGAAGTGCACCGCACAGCTCCAGGCGTGGCAGAGATTGTTGTTTTAAAGGTGCCACCCTTGTTTTTACTGCAAGTATGGCTACCGAAATGGTTCCATCATCCTTAACCATTCGGCTGTACACTACGGCTGAGTATGCTTTCGTGGATGCGTCTGAAAATCCGTGCAATTCGATCTTGTCGCTGTCGCTCTCGACCAAGCGTGGTATCTGGAATTGTGGTAGGTTTTCTAAATCTGCTCGCCATTTAAGCCACTTGTCGTCCCAATTCAAATTCAACAGCCAGAGTTTTTGAAATAGTATTGATGTATTTTCCATTATCCACGATGTATTTTCCATTATCGTCTCGAGAGTGTGTGTTGAGAAAGTGTTTCTCGACCTGTTCGTCCTCAGGTTGAACTTCCGCCTTGCGATGAATGCTTTCCAGCTCCCAGAATCGTCTGAGAGTGGCGTCTATGTCGACTGTTGTTGTGAGGGCCATAGTGTTGCTCGTCCTGGGTGTAAACAGTGATGTGATCACCCATCCAAAAATTGATGAAATAGCGATTAGCTTGCCTTTGTTGTCAAATATCTTCCTCTCAGTAATAGCACTTCAAACATGCTCGCTGCCCAAAAGATTATCGATTGGGCCACTTGTGCTGAATTGTGAATCTGCTAGTTGTAGATCGTTGAAGACTTGTAGTGCAGACGCGTCGATGCTCTGCCTGTCCAATGATGAGGTAATCTTTCCAAGCACGTGAGCCTGGACTACCAGTTGATCCTCTGATATACGGGATTGGATGCGTAGGGTACTGCATCCCCTTTTTGTGTCTGCTTTAATCGATGAAATTCCAGTGACCAATATGCGGGATGGCGTACGAGCCAAACCAAGTGCGTGTATACAGCGTTCAGATACATATGACAGTTCTGAGTCTGTGTCCAAAAGGAGTCGGCATGCTACCAAATCCCCGTTAGCGTTTTGAACGTTGACCATAGCCGTGGGCAGGGTGCTTCTGTTCCATCCATTTGATTGTGTTGAACATACAATTGTGCCTTGTGCACATACAATTGCTGCGGAGCCTTCTATTTGTGCTATGTGACTAATAGTCACCGGTGAGATGTGTGCGTTGGGATCATCCTGATCCTCACTAGTTTAAACGATTGTACCAATTGCGTATTGCGATGCAACCTTGAAGATGCAATAGTGTATGGTGCTGAGCTTTACATTGTCTGCAGTTGAACGTTGATGTGCATCTTCTGACCCCATGACCAGGTTTCAGACAATTATAGCATAGAGATTTCTCCTTGGCAAACGAGATTCTCTGTCCTACAGACATACCCAAAAAATGTGGACATCCATACAGACGATGTTCTGTAGAATAGCATTTGCTGCACTTGTTTCCATCAAGCCCAACCAACGAATGTGTGACCTTCTTTGTTTTGTCACCAATAGAGGCTGCCGTTTTACCTCCAGTTGTTTCGCGTTTTCTAAGCTCCAGCTCCTCGCAACGCGCATCCAAGAATTTGAAGAATTCCTCTAGTGTGGGTGAGTCTGACCCCACACTGCGTTCGATCCACTTGCGTCGAGTATCTGCGTCCAGTTTTTCCAACGCCAGGTAGATGATCCAACAGTCTCGTCCTGTTTCCTCAATGGCATCCAAACCACGCATGATTTCGTTTGCGCCGTCTGACACCTTCCGCAAGGTTGCTGCATCAGACCTTGTTGTTGTTGGCAGCTTCATAAACTGCTCCATGAAAGAATTCACGATGTGCCGTGGACGATTATATCTTTCATTAAGTCGCTCCCACGCTGTGTTGTAAGCTGCATCCGTAAAACTTACATGACGCACCAAGTTTGCAGCTTCGACGATTATAGGAGATTTCAGATGATGAAATTTGTGCGTATTTGTCAATTTCGCATTGTTGTGAATTGTGCTCTCGTAAATATCTTTGAAAGCTCGCCACTCCAAGTAGTTGCCAGCAAACCGTTTTATTTGAATTTTAGGCAATTCGCTTTGAGTTGATGCCTCTACGATTTTTGCGGTACCTGAATTCGGCGCACTGACGTCACCTCTTGTAGGTCTTGGCAATTGCGCTGTGGCTCGATCTGCTGCCAACTGCTCGAACAATTGTTGTTGTTGTTTTAGCAAACTGATTATTGCGTCATTGTTGATTTGCAGCCCGTTGCTGCCGTTCTAGCTACTCACAGTGGATGGGCCAGGTCTTGTACCTCCTATCGCCGAAGGTAATGAATGCGCCCGTAGATACTTTCCCTCGTAGAAAGCGTTGTCAGGCTCCGGATCCACATAGCCATCTACTTCGTCTAGAACAGCTTTTTCATCACCAAATCGAATGAATTCTTTCCATGTTGTGTTGAGATGCTCCAGCCGCGAAGACACCTCCGCCAATGTGGCGTTTGATTGGTGCGCGTCCTCAGCCCAAGTCAAGCTCCGTGTGATATTGGCATTGAGTCTGGCGCGTCCCTTCACTAATGCTTTTAATTGATCCATTGAAGAACAATTACCGTGAGAACCAATGCACAGAAAACAACAAAAACACCCGGCTCGAAAGACCAAACAATGATCCTAAATGCGTAGAGCCTTTTTTATAGTGGACTGTATATTTTATTGTTCTTGCTTGTTTCGCTGTCTAATTGGTACTAAAGTAAATTTGCAATGTTGCCATAGGTGCTGCTTGTTTCTAAAAGTAGTGTGTGCACATTGTTTTGATCTTAAGGCTACAATATAGAGATGACAATATGAGCTAAACTTAATACCTAAGCGATAGTTTCCAAACAGATAAATTAAAAATCTTTATTTCATAAATTGCACTTATTATGGCCATACAAAGACACACATACATAGATAAATAAATACACATAACGAGGGATTGATTACGACCAAACTTTTAGCTCTGTCGCAAGAATGGAAACAATCCGCTCATTTTTGAGCGTTGCTGCCAAAAATGATATGTTTTTCGTCCAGTTTGACGTCTCGACAGCTTTTCTATACGGTGAATTGGACGACAAGGAGATTAACATGCAACAACCTGAGGGATACGAGCAAGGACCGGGGCTTGTTTGTAGATTGAAGAAGAGTCTCTACGGGCTTAAGCAAGGGCCAAGATGTTGGCAAGAACGCTTCGGAGGTTGCCTGCGGAAACACAATTTCAAAGTCAGCGAGGCAGATCCATGTCTCTACATCAGAGGAAGAAATGGCCAAAAGACTATACTCGTTGTTTACGTAGATGACGGACTCGCCGCAGCAACAGATACGGAAAATTTGGAAGAATTTTGGACGAGCTTAAATCAGAGTTCAAAATTGTGTCGAGCAAGGCTGAGTGCTTCTTGGGACTCGAAATCAAGAAACAAGAAAATGGACTAAAAATTAGTCAACAAGGATATGCCACAAGGATTTTGGAGCGATTCAGATTCTCGGATTGCATAGCTGTTTCAACCCCACTTCTCAAGAATTTGGAAATTACGACAGCAGGGAAAGAATCAGAGACGACTGCGTTCCCTTATCGCCAAGCCATCGGAGCTCTCATGTACCTCATGCTTGGAACTAGGCCAGACTTGGCTTTCAGCATCGGATTTTTTTCAAGAACGCTTGAAAATCCTGCAAAAGAAAACATTGCTCAATAGAAGAGGGTTTTCCGTTACATTTCCGGAACAATCAACGTCTGTTTCCGATAGTCTATCGGAATCATGTTTGCCTCAGGAACCATTTCATGGAAAAGTCAAAGGCAGGCTATGGTGGCCATTTCTAATACAGAGGCTGAGATCGTAGCAGCCAATGAAGCTGCAAAAGAAATAATTTGGCCCGAAACCCCGAATTCAATCGCAGGACCAAGCACATAGCCAACAAGCATTTATTTATCAGGGAAAGAATTGCTGAGGGAGAATTTGGGATCGAACAAATCCCGACTGAGGAACAATTCGCAGATATGATGACGAAGCCGATCCTCAATACTCGTCTCCGGTTTCTATGCAACAAGATTGGACTCTTCTGAAGGAGAAAAACACCATTTATTTTTTCTTTATACAGAGTCATAAAATTGTTAAGTTTGTCAATTGAATTGTTATTATTAAATTCTCACAAGGGAAAGTGTTGAAGATAAATTTTTCAAATTCAAAATTACCTGCCAAGTCAGAGGGCGCTTTAAATATCATATCGATAGTATCGAATCAAAAACAAAAAACAAAAGTTTGAGTTTCAAGAAATATCGTTTATTTACTGGCCTAAATAACTAAATAAGTAAAAGTTATAATACTTACTTAATAAAATATTTTTTTAAGGAATTTAAAAGTTACGGCTTGCTTAGAATATGTTTAAGTTAATAGTTGCTTATCTGTATTTCAGCAGGAATTCTATATTTGTGACCAGCTTATTCAGAATATTCCATTGGAAGTTTAACGATATATGTATTCCCATTGGCGTCATATAACTCAAATTGTATTAAAATTTATATTATAATTAACTGATTTACTAATAATTCCACACTAGGCCTCACAAAGAGCTTACAGCGCATTATATATAAGCTGAAGCAAGCGTTTAAACTTAGATATGGAATACGGATCAAAACGAAAGGGTATGTTTTTAAATTTTGTGAAAACCTGTATATAAATATAGGCAGACGACATCTAGATAAAATGGATATTCGTGTTAGGCCTACAGTTAAGATGCCTGGCTGAATTATGGTATCTTCTTAAATTGCGATTACAAATTTTATCAACAATGCGATTACAAAGATTTGGCTTAGTTAGGATAATGCCAGTTTGCATCGAAACTTGTCTATATTTGCCCTTTGTTTATAAACGTGTCAATATTTTTAAACCCTTGCAGAGAGTATGTGAAATTTTTTTAAAATTTTGCAAAAATTGTGTTAAAGGTGCCATTTCCGACCGTGTAAAGAATACATACTTTATACATGTAAATAATAATGCATATATATATATATTATTATTAAATATTCACAGACGACATTTGTGGAAAAATTCCTAATCTGTGCGCTCAGATATGCGAAAACACCTTTGATGCCTATAAATGTAAGTGTCATTTGGGTTATAAGTTGGATTCTAACAATGTTACGTGTTCACCGGATACCAACCAAACATGTCCTAGCGGATTCAATTTTGATGAGCTTAGAGAAAAATGCATTGACATCGATGAATGTAGGGAGCAAATTCATGAGTGTGGGACAAGTCAGTATTGCTACAATACTATAGGAAGCTATCACTGCCTAAATGTTAAAAATGCGGACTGCCATAACAGTGACCTAAATAATTGTGAAGGTGAGTTTGGATTACAAAATTATTTAAATAATTGTACCTACTTAATAAAATATTTTTCTATGGAATTTAAAAGTTACGGCTTGCTTCGAATATGTTTAAGTTAATAGTAGCATATCTATAGCATTTCATCAGAAATTCTTTATTTGTGGCCAGCTTATTCTCAACTTTTCATTAGAAGTGACACGCTATATCCTCATAGGCGCCATATAACCGAAATTGTGTTAAAATTCATATATTAAAAAATTTGTTTACTATTAATGCCACACCAGGCCTCACAAAAAGCATACATCGCATCATATATAAGCTTAAGCAAGCGTTTAAGTTTAAGTAAGCTTAAGTAAGCAAGCGTAACGTGAAGACATGCCATATGAGGATACCGAACTAACTACTATAGAATTTAAAAGGAAATTTTTGTAACACCAGATATACACGTGTAAGGTGCAACATTGATCCAGTGTTTGGAATCTAGAAATGGAATGCGGATCAAGACATATGTAGTCCGGCTATAGTTCTTCGCCTTTGGTGATGGAGGTATTGGTTTTACGAACTCTAGCACTTGTCCTACATTATTAAAAAACAAGAAAGGAAAGCTAACTTCGGGCGGAGCCGAAGTTTACATGCCCTTGCAGTTAAAACCTATATCCGGTCGCAAACATCGGATATAGTTGGCCGATCCTTATGGGAATATAAATATATAATCCAATTTATTACAATACAAAGTCTAAAAAAAGTCCCATACTTCTATCTTCAAACATACCAAAGTTTGTATTTTTACCAAAAACCATTTCCGATTATTAAGTTATATGTCAGCTATTAGATATAGTCGACCGATCGTTATTCCAGCTTTCTATCTCCAAAAACACGAATGTTGGGTCACTTCCGATCGTTCAGTTATATGGCAGCTATAGGATATAGTCAGCCGATCCGGGCCGTTCCCACTTATATACTGCGTGCAAGGAAAGAAGGATGTGTGCAAAGTTTCAAGACGATAGCTTTAAAACTGAGAGACTAGTTTGCGTAGAAACAGACAGACGGACACACAGACGTACTGACGGAAATGCCTATATCAACACAGGAGGTGATCCTGATCAAGAATATATATACTTTATAGGGTCGGAGATGTCTCCTTCACTGCGTTGCACACTTTTGACCAAAATTGTAATACCCTCTGCAAGGGTATAAGAAGAAAGGAGAGCTTCCTTCGGAAGGAGCCGAAGTTAATATACCCTTGCAGCTAAAACCGGATATAGTTGGCCGATCCTTATGATTACATCATAATAAAACCAATTAATTAAAATAAAAAATTTAAAAATAAGTCCCAAGCTTCTATCTTCAAAAATACGAAAGTTGACATTTCTACCAAATACCATTTCCGATCGTTCAGTTATATGACAGCTTTAAGATATAGTCGGCCCATCCTTATGAAATTTGGTAGGTTGGATCAACTGACCAAATCTGTATAATCTGTACCAAGTTCCAGCTTTCTATCTTCAAAAACACAAAAGTTTGAACACTTCCGATCGTTCAGTTGTATGGCAGCTATAGGATATAGACGACCGATCCCTGTCGCTCCGACTTATATACTGCGTGCAAAGGAAAAAATGGTGGGTGCAAAGATTCAAGTCGATAGCTTTAAAACTGAGAGACTAGTTTGCGTAGAAAAAGACAGACGGACAGACGGACGGACGGAGAGACGGACATGCTTATATCAACTCAGGAAGTGATCCTGATAAAGAATATTTATACTTTATAGGGTCAGAGGCTAATGTGAAGCCAACCGAGGCAGCCATATCACTATAGGAAATATGACCACTTTTTCTGGACAAAAATAATATCTCAAGATCGAAACAAGATATTTAAGTTCTGATTTTTGATTTGAGTTCACATTGTCAATAGATTTAAGATTTAAAAAAAAATTTGGGCGTGGCACCGCCCACTTTTTAAGAAACACATTCTAACTCAAAAACTAAGCAAGATATTTAGATTTTAATTTTTGATTTGAGTTAATATGGTCAAAAGAACTCAGATTAAAAAAAATGGGGGCGTGGCGTCCTATTTAAAAATAACAAACTAACTGTAGAACTAAGCAAGATATTTTAATTTGGTTCTTTTTTAGTGTTTTATAAAGCCATAGTCTTCTTTTGAAAAAGTAGGTAAGGTTTTTTTTTTTTTTTATTAAAAAATTTTTATTTTTTGTTAAATTTAAATCGGTTTTTCACTAGTCTCACAGCTAACAGATTCACATTCAAGGTTTTGAGGTTGCCTCCTTAAATTATGAATTTCTTCGAAAGCGCATATTTACATTTCACTCATATGAAGAAAATTAAACAATCTACAACATGGACTAAATTACAATGTATGACTCGGTCGGACTTAGTTTAAATCTCTTTTTAAAAATGTGATTTAAATTTAAAAATTTCTCTTGCTAGACTACTTACATTTTCACTTTATTAAATAGACGACACAAGTTTTTTGTACACTTCACATACAAAAACACATAATACAAACCACATTAAAAAGTATTCATTTCAAAACTTTTGATTTTGTCCATAAAATTTTCAGTATTGGCGTTTTTAAAATCGCACCAAAAAAATCGTAAATTCTAAGCTCATGTAAATGTTAACATCAACAGATGTTTTTAACAGCTGATTTCTTCGCAGTGGCGCCATCTATGAAAATTTCTGGTATGCAACATTAAAAATTAATCTATTGTGAATGATATGCAGTTAAAATTATTTAAATCCTTTAACTTTCAAAAAACGGTTTTTGGCCAGAAAAAGTGGTAAAATTTCCTATAGTCCATATGAACGAAGTGGTGATTAATACATAAACCGCAATGTTGAGGCTATCCAATAAAAATGTTTGAAAAATATATACTGGTTTTTTTATAACGATTTGAAATGCAAATCTTTCGTGGGCAACCCTGTATATGTAGAAAAATTCCCAAATTCCTTTCCGTTTTTATATTTTTGGGTCAGAGGGTAACAGAGGTCAATTTTGGTCAAAAATGTGAACGCATACATCTTCTATAAAATATATATTCTTGAATTGGATCACCTCCTGAGTTGATATAACCATGTACGTCTGTCTTTTTCTTTCTCTACACTTTTACTACACAAGCTAGTCTCTCAGTTTTAAAGCTATCGACTTGAAATTTTGTACACACCTTTCTTTCTTTGCACGCAGTCTATAAGTAGGAACTGATTGATCGGAATTGCCATTACTTTAATATTTATTGAGCTATTTTTTTTTTTTTTTAATAATACATGATGCCAAATTTTATAAGGATTGGCCAACTATAGCTGTTATAAGAATGAACGATCGGAAATTACTAAGCTTTAGGTTTTTTGAAGAAAAAACCTTAGGACTTGTTTTAAATTTGGTATTCTAAGAAATTGGTTTTATAATAAAATTCTCATATGGATCAGCCAACTATATCCGATTTTTGTGACATATGTATATCCGATCTTAACTGCAAAAGTATACCAACTTCGGCTCTTCCCGAAGTCAGCTTTCTTTTCTTTTTTCCCAGGTACACGTAAAGTACAAGGGTACATTTTATTCTTGTGACTGAATTTTACATAGACAACGAAAAATCTCCGACCCTATATGGTATGTATCGGTATAGGCATGTTCGACTGTATGTATGAAGGCGGGAATCTCAGAGATAGGAACTTTAAGAAATAGAGCTATAGGATTGGCATGGAAACTCCTACTTATATTGCCCAGTTTAAGTTTGTTTCAAATGTTTGCTACCCTTTATTATTTATTGGAGACATAACTAAATATATGTTATGTTGCATTTTATGGCGCTTGGCCGAAAAAACAACCGGAGCCCCCCTACGTTACTTCTACCGATTCAGTAGGGAAGCAGAATAATTGTCCGATTGAGCTGAATTTTGATTTACAGGTAAGAATAATTATTGGAATAGTTTAACATCGAAACATTTTCACAAAAACTTGTGTGAACAGGCGTTACATCGAAATTTTCGCTTTGACGAACGGGAGGGTACTTGAAAAAAAAACTTGATTCACATGACTACAATATACCCTTGTATTTATGGGTATACCCTTTATACCCATGAACACCCTTTTATTTTATACCTTTTATACGCTACGAGTACCGGGTATAAAAATTCCAAAAACAACAATCTTATGAAATTTCCGATCAACTGACATCGGACTTTCCGACAAAGAAAAGAAGAATGTGTGCAAAGTTTAAGATCGATAGGTTTAGAGACTAGTTTACATATCAACAGACCAAAGAACATGCTTATATGTATCAACTCAGGAGGTGATAATGAGGGATATAAAAAAGGAACACAACGGGCGCTGGTGTTATTTAAGCCCTGGAGAAGATTGTCGGATTAGGTTTAATTTTGTGTATTTTCTTACCATTGTGACTGGTAATTCTCTTGGGGACCCATTCGGTACTTATCTCTTCCACCCACAATTTAAATACCTCTAGAAGTTTCAATATTTTGTTGCATACTTTTGCGTTTGGCCAAAACGACAGCTACGGCCATAATCTTTTATTTTTTTTACTCTTTTAACCATTGAAAAAGTTTTGCATCAAAACTTTTTCCAAAAACATTAACGAATTGCTTCTTGAACGCGATTTAATTTTAGAGACGGGAGTGGGCGTGGAAACACACCAAACTTGGTTGCCAAACTTGGTCAAGCTCCAAATCGAACAGCTTTATCTCGTTTGGTCTTTGAGATCCACGCGTTCAAAATTTTATCCCGTTTGGTATAATAATGGTATAATAATAAATTTAATAAATCAAAATAACCAATAAATCAAAAAAATGGTAGTGGCCATTTGGGATGAAAAAATAGCTGTAATTTTCAGAGAAATTATATAAACAGCAAATTTTGGATATAGTTGGCCGAAACTTGTTAGAATTTCATAATAGTATTTAATTTCATAATAAAAATTTTAAAAAAAGTCTTAAGCTTAAATCTCAAGCTTCTATCTACAAAAATGCGAAAGTTGTTGG